GGAAAGAAGGAATCTAAGCATCAAAAGGCTAAATCTAATCATGGGAATAGACAATTGTCGCATGTCTCGATGATTGAGGATTTTGAGCTTGTGATTAGTAATGGAGTTAGGATTAACCTAGTTATTTGTTATTACTCTTTGGAGACGTGTAGAAACCAAAATATCATTTTATGCGTTTCGTAAACATGAGTTTCGATCTTCATTTGATAATGGAAATGTAACAATTCTAGTTTATAAAGATGATTGTTTTATGCTTAAAACATATTCTTGCAATCAACATTCATGAAATTGTAGTTTTTGTTTCTAATGATAGTAAGGTTAACTTTAATATTGATTATTCTAATGGTTTAGATATGAAGGATTTTTGGATCTTGTACACCCTAATGTGTTTGGACCCTTCAGATCCACCACAAGGGATGTCAAATTGTACTATGTCATATTTATTGATAGTTTCAGTAGATGTGGTTATGTTTATATGATTAACCATAATTCTAACGCCTTGAAAAGCTTCAACGATTATTAGAACAAAGTAGGGAATCGATAGGGCATGAAGATAAAGGACCTCAAATCTAAAAGGAAAGGAGAATGCCTTAGTATCGGGTTCTACGATCATCATAGAGATTTTGGAATTGTTTCCATAATAAGCTTCTCCAAGGACACCATTTTAATGATGTTGCTAAAAGGATAATCGAATTATATATGGTTCGATCTATGATGATTCGTGCTTCGCTACCAATTACATTATTTGGAATATACACTTGAAATAGTAGAGCATTCTTAAACCTTGTAACCGAATAAGTAGGTGTTGAAGACACCTCTTGAAATATGGAGTTGGAAGGTTCCCTAAAATTTAGGTTTGGTTTTCAGAGATCTTTCATTAGATGAGAAACCAATGAACATCTTGAATCGAAATCTGAGAAGTGTTACATTGTTGGGTGTTCACCAAAGACTTTTTATATGTGTTTCAAAAACCCATGAGAATGTGGTGCTATAGCTCAAAAGGAATGTTCCTTGAGAGAAATAACATATAGATATCAAGAAGTTATTGGGAGTCATGTTGACCTTGAAGAAATTTGGGATATGATCGACAATGAACCTATAGTTGGCACTAGCTCTCAACATGAGGTTGAAAAATAAAACCAATTGAGTCAAATGACATTGCATTATCTCTTCAAAAGTCTAGTAGAGTTAGTGAAATTCTAAGTTTTATGAGTTTCATCTAACTATGGAAGGAGCTACGTTGATTAGTGAAAAAACATTGATCAATTTGGATACACCTAATAGCTACTAGGAAGCAATGGTGGACCATATGGCTTCCAATAAAAGAGTTTAAGGATAGCAAAATTTAGTCCATAGAGGATAACTAAATATGGTATTGGTTGATCCAAAGACTAGTCATATGAATGGGGGTTGCGATTAGATCTTCAATGTGAATTGATATGAATGTACACACATTCAATGCTAGTATGGTGGAAAAGGGTTTCACTCATACTCAAGAGATTTATTATGAGGAAACATTCTCACCAGTAGCTAAGAAAGGGTCTGTTTTGTACCATGGTTGCCTTCTTTGATACAAGATATGGTAAAATGGATGTTTAAACGACTTAAAAGAATTTAAACATACAAAATATCCAAACAAGGTGTGTAAGCTTGAGAAATTTTTGCGTAGATTTAAGCAAGCATCGCGTAGCAGGAATATGTGCTTCCATAAGAAAGTCAAAGAGTGTTGTCTTTCTAGAAGTACAGATGAGTCTTGAGTACATGTCAAAGCTAGTGGGAGTGTCTTATCTTCCTGGTATTGCATGGTGAGGAAAATACTACTCATAGGAAATATTGTCTCTGAGTTGCAAAGTGAAAAAGCTCTGGAGTTGTTTCGTTATAATGGACATGGGAAAGCGATATTGATACTTGGTCTTAAATTTTGAAAGTATAAAACAAAAATATTTAATAGGATTCAGTCAAAGCACGATATATTGAAAGGTTTCAACATGGAAAATTCCAAAGGAATTGTTCATATGCTTCATAGCAAGGAGTTGAGTGAATCTCAAAAGTCCATTGTAATAGTCATGAAAATAATAGGATGAATAGTGCCATATATGCTTCAGATGTAGGATCAATCATGCATACTATGACTGGTGTTTGTTCTGATATCTCAGATGTTTTGAACATCATCAGATTATGTTAGAAATTTGTTTACTGAATCGCTAGACAATTGTCAAGAACATTCTGAGGTATTGAAAGATACCAAGGAATGGTTGTTTGTAGACAGTAGAGAACATGTTTGAGAACAGTTATAGTGACATGAATTTTAGAGATAATTATGAGACATAGTCTAAATAGACATTCGTTTAAGTGTAATAACATGAAAGGTTTCATATAGGAAATGGTGGTAGAGTCAATAATATGATTCGAATTACTTTAGTACAAGTGAAGCATCCAAGGAGCATAACTGGATTACAAAAACTTCATAGTTGACATTGGATTTGTTTTGGGTAACAAATTACCATTCGAAATATTCTATGAAAATGTATTCACATTGACTAATGATCCTTAAGACCATAGAAGATCAATGCATAGAAAGAGGAAATCCACTACATCCAAGAAAAGGGTTGAGGATGGAGATCTATTGTGAAATGAATAATTTTCGATGACTCATTCACAATAATGATGACCAAAGGAAAACATGATATACACGTTGAGAGCATTGGAATGACAAATATTGATAAGTTTAGTTGTTACGTCGATTACCTCGAAACATATATACAATAGATAAATCTGTAATTGTTATTGTGATTAAATAATATGAAATTATTTATATTCAAAAGAGTGATACCATAGAATAATTAGTTTATTATTGTGTTTCATTTTGCATGTTACTTCCTGAATATTAATTTATTCAAAATGCCACAGTCAGTCATACTTCTGGGAGTTGGTATTGATTTAAGATTTCCATTGAATATTTGTAGATTGTTCATGGTGATTAGACATTGCATGGGGATTGCTGTAATATTCACGAGTACTTGGAAATAGGGATTTTAAGTATTGGTTAAACCCAAGCTTAGAGATTACTTCATGGATTCAAATCATGAGTAATTCTAGGACGATAATATCTTCTATTCTTCAAACACTTTCCGAAATTTGTAATTCGTCCCTTTTTCCTGGGGGTACACGAATTCAAAAATGGGATAATCCAAGCATGAACCAATCTGAATTGCAAGTCTAATTTAGATTGTGAAACACAGAATAGCTGTTAATGTGTTCTTGAGAGATAGAGAAATTATGATGTAATTTCGAGTTTATGAATGTTCAAACCTTTTTATAGAACATCCATATTTGATTTATACTTGAGGGAAAAGTGGTTAAAGTTGGTTAAACCAAAAATGGCGCCAAAACTGGTAGTTATTGGACACAACCGATAGTTACATCATCATGATGTCATCAGTGGGTTTTTGGCAGGAAAATGCATGGCTAGAGTCTCACTTGATACAAAAATCTGTTTAGGTTTGTGGGCATTGCCCCGAGCCCCTCCAGGGGCTCTTCCCTTTAACCCCGCTAGGGGCGCTGCCCTTAGACCCCGCCAAGGGGTTGCAGCCCCTTAGAACCCTACACCCAGGGGCACTACACCCATACCCCCATATTCTCGAGTTCACATTTATCACACCGAGTGTGCACCCCACACCTCCAAGCTCTGTTAGTAAATGGAGTTTGGCCTATCTCATTAATAATAATAATTACACCAAAATAAGTTGATAACACTAAAACCACCAACATGATTTGTTGACCATATTAAACAAGTAAGGAAGGTGCGGAGTACACACTTTGTTTAAGTTTATTCAATATTCAAAGTAGACTGTCATTTAGCGGTGAAACCCCTGAACGAACGGGGATCCGGGGGCAGCGCCCCTGCAAGCCCAGTTTTGACTTTGTTTTGACCCTTATAGAAAGAACCCGAATTAGTGACAAATTTCAGACATTACACTGTTTTAGTGACAGTTTTTCAGACATAAAACTGTCTTGTGATAGTTTTCTGATGGAAAATGTAATTAAACAATATTGGTCTTCATTTTATGGGACTTACGAAAATCATATCAATTCATTCTCTATTCTGTTCTCTCATTTCTGAGTCTTATCTGTTTGAAGATTAGGAGTACCACCAAATACTTCAATCAGAAAGTGATACTTACGATTCTCAGATTTCCAAGTGCTGTTATACACCAAATTTCTAACATCTTCCACATGTTTTTATTTTTCTTCTTAATTTCAACATACCATGCACAACGGGGCGTATAGTGCACACTACTAGAACTTTCCTCTTCATTTCCTAGAGTCCTACACTTTGGTACCCGTAAGTTAGGCTTACTATCATAAACTTTAAAATCTCTATTTTAGTTGATAGACAAAAGTGTCAGTGCCTTTTTTACTTGCAACTTACTTTCAAATTACATTTGTAACCTTAGTTTATTTTTGACTCCTTCCAAACATCTATGCAAATGCGTTCTTCCAAACCGGCTATGTCATCGTCTCCTATATCTCCAATGTTGTTTTTCTTTTACAACCACAATTATCTCGTCAATTCCAGTGATGCATCTTCCATAAAGTACCATTGTTTTCTTTCCTCATATTCCATGTTCTGATGGCATAATAATCATGCACAAATCAAGTATTCACACAACTACAAATAGTGTAATGAAACATCAGGTGTTTCATCCTATCACGAGATACAAGTATTAACCGAGTAATAACCACAATTAACCAAAAGTTTGTGCCATTATCATGATCAATATGATTCAAAGTGTATTAACCAAAGTAAGCAAAAAAAAAAAAAAAAAACTGCAATTTTCGAGCCTCCAAAAGAATATCAAAGTCTGCAACTATTAACTAAAACAAGCTAAAATTTTACAGAGGATTCAATAGACAACGAAATGGTGGAATTGATGAGTACTGTATGATTTCTACGTGTAATAGAAAAAGGAGAGCAAACCTGCAACCATCACCAAGCTCTAACACAATGCAATTTTAGGCGACATGAATTGACGAAGGAGAGAGGAAGATCTCATCGCAAAAAGGGATGAGATCGGTGATGATATCTGCAGGGATGACGATGATGATGGCCATGGGATCGATGGACATGACGAAGTGGACAGGGAAATATTGTTGGGCATGGAAGACGATGATGATGGTTGGGTCGGTGATGATGGAGTATCGGGAAGCTGGTACATAGGGATGGATGGTGTATTGTTTATGTGAGGAAGGTGGAAAAGGGTGGTATTGGGTGGAGATGAAGGTGAGACTGCATTTGATCCCCAAACTTATTTTTTTGGCTTTATAGAGGGACAATGTAAGTTTTTTTGGTCTAAATGGTCACTGTCGCATGGTGAACCGGCTATTACTGGTTGACAGGGACTAAAAGAGCAGGTCGTATCCTAGTTTAGGTACCCATAAAGCCCGACAAAAACTTTAAGGACCGAATCGACCAACCGTAGAAACTTTGTAGGGCATTTGTGTCATTTTCCCAATTTTTTAAATATGCGAAATTTGATCTGAAATTTCGGATATCCGAATTTTCCAATGTCTAATAGTTTAGATTAAGATTAGAATTCATATAGTAATCTTACAAATTTTCAAATATTTCGGATATCCCAAATGTGGTGTTCTTCTTGGTCTTTAAGAAAAAGAGGGGTCCATCCTTCCGTCTCACACACATACATCGAAGAAGCCTTGAAATAAACCCAAACCTATACAAGCTTGATCAAGTAAGTGAGGGTGGGGGTTAGGGTTTATTTAAGTTAAATTTTAACCAATTCCATCGCTTCCAATCAACATGAAACTCTACACGGAACTACATACAGCGAACTTGATTAAAGAAAACTTCAAACAAGTCTCATTTCTGAAATCCCCATTAATGTTTTAAAATCAAAATTAACTACAGATATAATATAACAGGGATGTACCTAAAGGCTTGATAAACATAGCACACATGTAAACGCATAATATGTACTGTATGTATTTATCAATTGTATTTTTAGTCTTGAAATCATAATATATCTAACGTCTACATTTTAAATTAGATACTAAATTTACAAATATAAAAAGAGTAGAAAGTAGCATTTGTCATAATCAACCAAAAAAATACATCTAAACAGTTTCAGTTGACAATAACTGTAACAATCCTTGTATTTTAACCAATGTAATTGAACTTGATTTGCATTCAAAGGTTATTTTTTTAGGCGTTCGATAATGAACTTACCTGCTGGTGATGCACGTGGAAATGGCATGTGCACCAAACCTCGAAGCATCTTTACTTCTTCATTAACAGAAACACGATAATGAAGCTCTATCCGTTCTTTCTTTAGCACATGTGACTTAGCCATGATGAGCTTCACAAACTCCAGCTCAAGAGCATGGTTATGGAAGTTTGTTATCTCCAGTTCTTTAAGATGATCCAAGTTGAGGCCCGAATATTGTTGAATATCAGGCAAGTTATCGAATGCTTGTTGAAGACACCACCGATCATGGTCCCAACAAATCTAAATCAGGAAAACATGTCAAAATTGTAAGTAGAATCATGAAGATTTGTTAAAACCATATGTGATATTTACCTCCACTGTTATCTTCTCAAAATTTGGAGAGCTGCTGATTACACATAGAACAAATGAAATCTCAAGGAAACACACACTGAGATCAAGTATTCTCAAATGGACTAGTGAAATGGAGAGCTTATGTGGTATGCTACCTGCACCCAAATGCTTTAAACAAATACTAAAATTAAGAGCAAAATTTAAACACGATGAAATAAAACATTCAAGTTAAGTATTACCAAGATAAACAACTGCATGATTTCCAGAACCTGAATTGAAGGTAAACACTTAAATAGTTCAACCAATTCACACTCAGTAAACTCTATGGACTCGTCCCTAATCTGCATCAAAATACCTTTGTAAGATGGTATCAACTGAAAGAGCTTCTTCATAAGTAGTAATATGGACCTTACCAAAGTAAATTCCTCAAATAGTGGGCAGCTAGTAAGGAGTTGTTGAAGCATATTGGCAGTGATTATACCATCTTCAAAGATCAGGCTCTTCAACATACTAAATCCATTAAACACTGATGGAACCTCAATTTTGCAATATTTGAGAGATAGGTGTTCTAATCCTTGCAATGAAAAGAATGAACACAATAACTTGTAATATTCATCGATTGAAGAAATCTCAAAAGTGAATTTCTTGATATTTTTGCTCCGTGAAAGATGAAGTATTATCTGGTCAATCTCATTAACAATTTCTGCATCAGTGATACAAATACAGAGTTCTGATACCGGACCCTTATGTAGCAACAAAACGTGGAAGATGGCATTGATAAGTTTATATTTTTCGATCTCTACCTCCATATTAGATAATAGTTTAACCAGATTGTCATCAAATACAAGTTTCGGGATGCCTGTCCAGCAATACCTCCATTTCTTTGACAAAATGCTCGTCATTGGCATAAGAGTCAGAATTTTTTCAATTGTATCTTGAGGGAGAGCACTGATTCTATCCTGACTTTGGATATGAGCTTGCATCTCTTGATGAGTCCCTCAAGGTTTGGATACTCCACACGGCTGTAAAGTAGAATTCAATGCCAAATAGATTATGTTGCAATGCATTTTTTCCTATATAATATCATCATTTAGCCATTCATATATATTGCATTAATACAATGAAATATGATCTTTGGTTCAAACATATATGAATGGAACGAGAAGACAAATATGCGAATGAAAAACAACTATGCTCAAGATCAATAATACTAATAAGTAATAACTATCTTATTTATGCTTTGTCTGCCTTCTAGAGTACTTCTAAATTCCTTATTATAACCCACATGATGACGCCTTGCATGCCAATGTCTGCCCTTATAATTGCTAGAACAAGTTGGTGATTTTAGTGTCATCATGTCATTTTAAGTAATTGGAACTAACATGTGAGCTAAGGGGCTTCATAATTTGTACTCTAATATATGTACGGGGCTGTGCGGAGTGCACGCATGCATAAGATCGAATTAGAAGTCGGTTCGACGACTAGTCGGGGGTCCGGGGGCAGCGCCCCTAGGTCCGGGGTTTCCAAAGGGGCAGCGCCCCTAGCGAGGTCCAAGGTGCAGAGCCCCTGGCTGGGTGATTATGGTAAAACTAACGAAACTCGTTAGTTTTGGTAACTCTAAATCCTCATTAGATCCAGATTACCCTGACTTGCTTCCAAAACAACTAATGACGGCCCAAGCCAAATGAAACCCTAATCTTGTTTAATATATAAACGGTTCTTCCTTCTCAGAAGAGAGAGACAGATATTAGCTCTCGTTTTCATCAAACTCTCATAGAATCTCTCTAGCAAATTGGCTTACGATTTCTTTTCCTATAATCGTAAGTGTCCGCTTGGATTATCCTAGGCTGAATTTCTTGCAACCCAGACATAGGGTAGAAATATCAGTTTGGAAAGTGTTCTCACAATCCAAGTTGTTATCCAGATCTCCACTACAAACCCTAATTTCTCTAACAATCGAACTGATATTTTTTGTTCCTGGAGATGGGTGATTCAATACGCGAGATGACCACTAAGTTTGCAAAGTTGGAGAAGTTCAAAGGTGTTGACTTCAGGCGGTGGAAGAAGAAGATGCACTTCATGCTGACTACTCTGAAGGCAGCATACGTGCTGACTACTCCTAGACTAGCGGAGCCTGAAGAAGGTGTTGTTGAGACAATTGAAGAGATAAGAAGGAGACAGAAGTGGGACAATGATGACTACATCTGCAAAGATCACATTCTGAATGATATGTCTGATGCTTTATTTGATATCCATAGTGAAGCCTTGTGTGCCAAGGAGTTGTGGGACACCCTTGAACTGAAATACATTACTGAGGATGATTCTAGCAAGAAGTTTCTGGTCAGTGACTTTAATAATTATAAGATGGATGATTCAAGGTTTGTCACTGAACAATACAATGAACTCCTTGGCATATACGGTCAGTTTAAACTGCACCGTATGAATATGGATGAATCCATTGTTCTGTCAACCATCATTGACAAACTGCCTCCATCCTGGAAAGACTTCGAACATAACTTGAAACATCAAAAGGAGGAACTTTCCTTGGTTGAACTTGCTAGTCACATTCGTATTGAAGAATCTCTTCGTGCGAAGGAAAGTGACAAATCTGAAAAACCCAAAGGAAAAGTTGAACCTGGACAACCCTCGGTTCATATGGTTGAAAATAAACTAAGGAACCAAAACCACAAAGGACATGGCAAACGCAAGCAGGAACATGTCCCAAGCAACTCCAACAAAATGAGAAAGGATCTGGTTTGTTGGAGGTGCAATCAAGTTGGGCATTGCAAGCGTGATTGTCGAGTGAATTTAGGCAACAATGGTGCTGGAAACACTGGAGCCAATGGGAAAGTGAACGGGCCTTCGGCCCAAGTTAAAGGAGGTCAGGTTTTGACTAACTTTGATCATTCTAATCAGAATTATGTTTACTATGTTTCATTTATCATTGAATCATTCTATGTGCAGGATGATGATGTTGCTTGGTGGATCGATTCCTGAGCAACGAACCACGTATGCAAGGATAAATGGATGTTTGAAACATTAACTCCGCTTGAAGATAGGTCGGTGCTGAACATGGGAGACGATTATTTTATTCCTATTTGTGGTTTAGGTGTCGTGTGTCTTGAATTTACTTCTAGAAAAACAATTAGGTTATTTGATGTTTTGTTTGTTCCCAAGATTCGGAAGAATCTTGTTAGCTCTAGTTGTTTGAATTCTGATGGTTTTAAACAAGTTATTGATTCGGATAAGTTTGTTTTGTCTAAGGGTGGAATGTTTGTTGGCTTTGGATATTTACATAATAGAATGTTTCGTTTATTGTTGACAAATTATTACCTGTTCAAAATTCTGCATTTGTATCTTCTACTTCTAATGTTGATAAATCTATGCTTTGGCATGTAAGATTAGGTCATGTCAACTCTAGAAGGATGCATGAAATGTCAAAAGATGGATTAATTCTAGCCTTTGATATGACATCTGATAAATGTAAAACATGCATGCTTACAAAAGTAACAAAACAGCCCTTTCCTAGTGTCACAAGAAATTCAGCTGTTTTGGAACTTGTACACAGTGACCTGTGTGATTTTCACTCCGCTCCTTCTTTGGGGGATAAAAAGTATGTAGTCACCTTTATTGATGAATGCACTCGGTTTTGCTATGTGTATTTGTTACATTCTAAGGATGAAGCCTTAGATAAATTCAAAATATACAAAACCGAGGTGGAATTGCAATTGGGCATTCTGGTTAAACGTCCCAGGACTGATAGGGGAGGTGAATATATGGATCCCATATATTTTCAATCAATGGGTATCATTCATGAGACCACGACACCTTACACACCCCAACAGAATGGTATTGTTGAACGCAAAAATCGAGTTTTAAAGGAAATGGTAAACTCAATGTTATCATACTCGGGATTGAGTGAAGGATTTTGGGGAGAGGCCATGTTAACGGCCTGCTATTTATTAAATAGAGTTCCAAATAAAAGGAACAAAACAGTCCCATATGAACTTTGGTTCAAGAAAAAGCCGAATTTGAGTTATTTTGCGTTTGGGGATGTCGGGCAGTTGTAAAACTCAACGAGCCCAAAAACAAAAGTTTGGGAGAACGTGGAATTGATTGTATATTCATTGGATATGTTGAACATTCCAAGGCATATAGGTTTTATGTAATAGAACCTAATGATTCAGTTTCAATTAACACTGTTATCGAATCATGGGATGCAATTTTTGATGAGATGCGGTTTTCATCGATTCAAAGGCCTAAGGATATGACTTTTGGTGCTAATAAAGGGCAAAATTCAGAAAGTCAAGATGGTGGTATCGTGAAAGAACAACAAGAGCTTCGTAGAAGCAAAAGAGGCCAAATTGCGAAAAATTTCAGATCTGACTTCCAACTGTATTTGGTGGAAGGTTCAAGGGATGAAATTAATCTTGAATACTCTTATTGCTATAGTATTGAAGATGATCTTAAGACATATCAAGAGACCATGGAGTCTCGTGATAGTGCCTTTTGGAAGGAAGCAATTGATGATGAAATGTCATCAATTCTTGAGAACAGCACATGGGTGTTGTCTGATTTGCCTCCGGGTTCTAAACATCTTGGTTGCTAATGGATTTTCAAAAAGAAAATGAATGTTAATGGGACTATTGACAAATTCAAAGCCCGGTTAGTCATTCAAGATTTAGACAAAAACCCGGTATTGCCTATTTTGATACGTATGCTCCAGTTGCACGTATTTCTACTGTTAGATTGTTGATTGCCTTGGCAAGTATCCACAATCTGGTTATTCACCAAATGGATGTGAAAACAGCCTTTTTAAATGGTGATCTTGACGTGGAAGTTTACATGAAACAACCAGAAGGTTTCATTATGCCCGGTAAAGAGCATATTGTTTGTAAACTTGTCAAATCTTTGTATGGGCTGAAACAAGCGCCTAAACAATGACATCAAAAATTTGATGAGGTGATTTTGTATTTTGGTTTCAAGAAAAACCAATGTGATAAATGTGTTTATAGTAGATTTCATGATGCTACTAGAGCTGGAGTGATCATTTGCTTATATGTAGATGACATGTTGATTTTTGGTACTGACGAAAATCAAGTAGATGAAACAAAGAAATTTTTATCATCTAAGTTCTCCATGAAAGATTTAGGAGAGGCTGATGTAATTCTTGGAATAAGAATTAAGAGGATGAACAAAGGATTGGTAATGACTCAAAGTCATTATATTGAGAAAATTCTCAAGCGGTTTAATTTTACCGATTGTTCTCCTGTGAGTACTCCTATGGATCCAAGTGTGAAATTAATGCCAAATAATGGCGTTCCCATTTCACAATTGGAATACTCTAAGGCTATTGGTAGCTTGATGTATGTCATGACAAGTACCAGACCTGATATTGCTTTTGTTGTGGGTAAGTTGAGCAGGTACACTAGTAATCCAAGTGCTCAACATTGGCAAGCAGTAAATAGAGTGTTTAAGTATCTCAAGGGAACTATGGATTATGGTTTGAGTTACTTAGGGAGTCCTTCAGTTTTAGAAGGTCATTCGGATGCAAGTTGGATAACCAACATGGAGGACCATTCTTCTACTTCTGGTTGGGTATTGTTGCTTGGGGGAGGTGTCATTTCTTGGGCTTCCAAGAAGCAATCTTGCATTACAAACTCGACAATGGAATCTGAGTTTGTTGCGTTAGCAACTGCTGGTAAAGAAGTCGAGTGGCTAAGGAATTTAGTCTATGAGATTCCTTTGTGGTCTAAACCGATAGCACCTATTGCTATCCTTTGCGATAGTGTTGCCGCTTTGGCTAGGGCATATAGTCAGGTTTATAATGGCAAGTCTAGACACCTAAGTGTTATACATAGTATGATTAGAGAACTAATCATGAATGGTGTGATTTCGGTCGTGTTTGTGAAATCGCAACAAAATTTGGCAGATCACTTGACTAAAGGTCTGACAAGAGACTTAGTGCACAAGTTTGTAATCG